TCCCCATCTCCGTGATCCCCTACACCATGTACGGCGGCCTCAAGTCCACGTTCCTCGCGTCCTACATCCACACGTCGATCATCTTCGTCGTGCTCCTCATGATGATCTACACGATCTACGTGTCCAAGTTCTCCAGCGACCTCATCTGGGAGATGCTCAAGAAGACGACGTCCTACTCCGTGAGCGACTGCAAACACATCTTCTCCGAGGACTTCGACGGCTTCTCGTCGCCGAGCTTCAACCCGGACGCCGCCGATCCGCGCGTCCGAACCCCTCGTCGACGCGGCCTTGGCCTTCTTCGGCGGGGGCCAGATGATGCTCGGCGCGACGTTCGACTGCGTGTACGGCGAAACATACTTCGAGGTGGTCAAGGACCTCGACCAGAAGTACGTCCTCCTCGGCGGCTCCTCCGTGGACGGCCTGGTGAGCGCCGCGCTCGACGCGGACCGCGCGGCGGGCCTGAAGCGTCGGTGATGTGGCGCCTCTTCCTCACAATCGCGGTCTCCGAGGGAACGTCCGCTCGCGCGCGCGAGGCGTACGACTTCCCGGTGAAGCCCCTCTTCGACGACGAGCCCTGCCCGTCCGTCTACATCTACGACCACGCGGCCTTCTGGCCCGTGAACGCGTCGCTCGACGCCGTCGCGGCCCTGTCGGCGGACGACGTCTTCGGGCCGCGCTGCTCCAAGGCCATCCCCGAGGAGCGGCCGACGGGCCAGTACGAGATGGCGCACATCGTCGTCTGGCGCCTCACGCGGCCGCCGCGGCCCTCGCTCCACGCGTGCCGGCGGACGACGGATCCGGCGCTCGCGGACCTGTTCCTCGTGCCGACGTTCCCGGGCGGCAAGCACATTAGCGACTGGAAAAGCGCCTGCGCGGGCGAGACGGACGGGCTGGCGTCGTCGCTCACATACCTCGACGCGCGGACGGCGCACCGCCACGTCTTCCTCGTGTCCAGGGGCGCGCCCGAGGCCGCGGAGGACGGCTGCGACCCCTGGTGGCGGAGGCCCGAGGGGCTCCTGCGGCGCGCGCTCCGCTTCGCCTACTCGGACGCCTACGACGCCGGCGGCCGCCCGGGCCTGCCGTTCTACGGGCCCTTCAGGCTCGACGACGACGAGGTCGCCGCGCGGCTCGCGGAGGACCCGCTCGACGACACCGCGGCGATCCCGCACCTGCACTCCGTGCCCTACCCGTCGTCGATCCACGCGTCGCGGTCCACGCGGACGCCGCCCTGGGCCGTCGGCGCGGGCGCCCACGGCGCGTCGCTCGCGTCCTTCGTCGGCGAAACGCGCGCCGCCAAACACCTCTACGCGGGGGTCCGGCCGAAGCTCATCGCGGACTGCGCGGCCGCGCCGAACGCCGCGTGTCGCGTCTACGGCCCGCACGCGGCGAACCGCCTCGGCGAGAGGGGCCCCTACGCGAAGGTGCGCGGCCGCCAGAAGTGGGGGCACTTCTGCGGCCTCGAGGAGACGTACGCGCGCGCGACCTTCTGCCTCGAGCCCGGCGGCGACTCGCCCTACCGCAAGGGCTTCTACGACGCGCTCGCGACGGGCTGCATCCCCGTCGTCTTCGGCGCCTTCAACGCGCGCGTCGCGCCCTGGTTCGTGCCGCGCGGCGTCGTCGTCGAGCTCAACGAGACGGCCTACCTCGCGGGCGACCTCGACGTCCTCGCCTTCCTCGCGGCCATGCCCGCGGACGAGGTCTCGCGGCGGCAAGAGTTGCTCGCGGCGGGCGCGGTGAAAGTGCAGTACGCGCTCGACGACGTCCCCGGCGACGCCGTCGAGACGCTCCTCCGCGGCGCGCGGCGCGCGGCGCTCGACCTCGAGCGGGCGCGCCCCACGCTCAAGACGTGGAACGGTTCGATTGCGCAGGCGCGCCCCGCCTCCTAATACTATCGGACGAGCCTGCAGCGCTCGATGTGGCTCATCCGCGGGAACTCGCGCATGAGCGCGTCGACGCCGCGGTTGTAGGCCTTGATCTGGCCCGTGCCCTCTTTGTAGCCCGTAAATATGGCATCGAAGACCTCCATCCCGGGGGGCGTGACCTCGGCGAAGACGCCGCCCTCGCCTGCCAAATGTGTCGGTCACGATTCTTCATCGTTTCCCCACCCGAAATCTCTCGAAAATCGCCACGGCCACAGGACGCCGCCCTCGCGGTCCAGGTGCTTGTTGTCCGCGAGGTTGACGAAGATCTGCGTCTTCGAGCTGCCCGCGAAGGCCGCGGTGCCGCGCCGGTTCCTCGCGTCCTCGCGGCGCTCGTCGCGGCCGACCTTGGGCCACGTCGTGCCGTTCCACGACGGGTGGAACCCGACCTGGGCGATGAAGTTCGGCACGACGCGGAAGAAGCGGAGGCCGTCGTAGAAGCCCGCGGCGACGCGCTCGCG